GATAAAGTTGCAAATCTTCGCGAAATATGAGAAAAATAAAAAATATAGAAGATTACATCAATATTTTCATTATATTAATGACATACACACACCTAAAAATTAATTTAAAAATATCTACATAATCTAAACACCATGATGAATCAAATAATATTAAAATCACACAAGTCCGTGTAGCGGTTTGTAAATCACAGCCACAACAAAACAAGATATTGAGGAAAAATATTTGTTTTTGGTTCGAAAAAATAATGACATCATATTTATTTTTTTAATTTTATACAAGAAATTTCAGAAAAAATGCTGGGATTATTCTGCTATTTTACCCGAATTTCGCCGAAAAATTGACATATATAATAACAAACACTTTTTGTGTATAAGTATACCTCTTGCGGATTATATCAAGACCCTTCCGATAAATCTTGGGGTTTTATAAATATTAATAAATCTTAAAACAAAATAATATTGTGAAATATACATACATTTTAAATTGCGTCTAAATCGCGTAATTCTCAAAATCATTTGATGCGCATGCGGTTTCCAGGAAGTACTGAAGTTTATCTTCCTATCCATATATATTTGGCGGTTAAGATGTACTACATGTTGCATTGAAGGACCCAAAAACTCGTAAAACGCGAATAATTTCCGAAAACTCCATATGCCATTAACGCGCATCCGATTTCGGTGTGCACCCTAAAAAATACATCGATCTATACCGATATCAATGTGGTCCATTAAGAACCATGGTTGTGCCAGCTCACACTATTTTTGAGATAAACTGGGTACATATCTCTTTCGGCTGAAGTTTTTAAAGTTCTCTTTTCGAAAAAGATCAAAATCCGTATGAAGTCATTTATTGAAGCGAAAATGATCCACAGAAAACGCAAATAAATCCGCGATATTTTCAAAAACATTTTTGCCAAATTTCGTGTTTTTGGAAAGCCAGTTCCTGCCGTTCTAGTAGATGGATTTTCACGAAGAAGATTTTATATCATCCGAAACGTAAAAAACCTTATTGATCGCATGTACCCATATCACACAGTTGACAGAAACTTAATGAAACTTTGCATTACTTACTAATTTTCGTCCATTTTCTGTAATTTTTATAGAACTTAAATTGAAATTGAACTTTGCAACTTAAAAAATGTTTTGAATAATTTTTGTGTTTGGTCATAAAACAGCTGATCCAAAGATGGCTGAGTTTGCAAAATCTTACTGCATAAAATTCTTTCAGTAAACTCTAATAAGTTTGTTGTTGTTCAACTGTCAAACTTAATCTCTCACTTGACTCTCTTTTACTGGATTTTTGGGTAAACAGACAACATTTAGTAACATTTGGTAACAATTGTTACCAAATATTGAATAAACAGACAGAGCTAATCTTATAATCGATTATAAGAAATTCCTCTTTGCGTATTAAAGCTAGAAGTAAAATTTAAAAAACACTGAAAATCGAGCTTCAAAATTTTAGCATCATTTAAAGGTAGATGCAGTCCCCATTTTGTTGGCTTCTAGTTTTACTTTGGCACGAAGACCGTGAAATGAGTGGCTTAATCACAAATCGATAGAGAACATAAAAAACTGCTTCGCATCAACCTGTTTTTACACATTTTTTTACATTAAAGTAGACACAGCTTCCACCAAAATAAACTTTGGAGGTCAATATCATGAACAGTTTGCAACGACAGAACAATTAACAAAAAACTTTTCACTTTTTTCATATACTTAAGTAATTCCCGAGTTATAAAGGGGTGAACCTCCGCTTCAGCTATGTTAAAAAATTGGCAATATTGCCCATATATACTTTATGGGGTCTCCGGTGAATATTTCGTTCGGCGTTGCAAATGGAATGGTAAAAAATAAGAAAAGGAGACCAACCCACTTTGGGAATATAATAATAATAATAAAAGCGACCTCATTTTAAGGCTTTAGTCACATTATCTGTGGCTGTAATTTGGTATAAAGGTAGCTTCCATTACCCGCATTTAAAAGGTTTCAGCTGAATTTTTCCATTGTAGCGGCTGTAATATGAGATTCCGTGATATAGGTTCAAGTTTTAATACAGCCTACACATATAGGTCCCGCTCCATATTCTGTATTATTGAGATATTAATCGAATTCTCCTATCGAATTGGCAATAATTTGACATATCGGATTCCTGGGAAAAAATAAACTTCATTTCAGAAGTTATTCAAAAAAGGTTAATGTTTAACATTTCCATAACGGTTTCCAACCTGATTGTCTGTACTTTTGGAACATTATTTTTTAAAGCATGAACAATCTACTGTCATATAATACAATAAAGTAATCCCCATATAAAGATACAGATCGATTTAGGAAATTTTTAATGCACACCGCTTGATGGAGTGTATAAAATTCTGTTTTACATTTATGCATAAATATTGCATTTTGTACCATCTTTAGCCTTTGATTTCATTGTATTTGTCTCATCTATGGAAATAAAAACCAATAATTAAAAAAACATCACATACATATCTATCTATCTATCTACATATATATAAATGATGATATACATATATATAAATGTTCGTTAGTCTCGCTAAAACTCGAATACGCCTTAACGGATTTTTCTTATCTTAGTCTTGAAATGTTCGTGGAGGTCCAGGGAAGGTTTAAAAGGTGAACGGAGTTTTCTTATCATAGTCTTGAAATGTTCGTGCAGGTCCAGGGAAGGTTTAAAAGGTGAACGGAGTTTTCTTATCATAGTCTTCAAATGTTCGTGCAGGTCCAGGGAAGGTTTAAAAGGTGAGAAAAATAATCGAAAACCGCGAAAAAATTTGCAAACAAATATTATGAAGCCTATTTGCATTTCCACGAATTTAGTATCGAGCTATTTTGATTGCACCATGTCGTAGTTTAATTTTGAGATCATTTGGTCAAAAATTGGTAGCGTATTATTCCTTTAAGATTTAATTTGTCAATTATTGAAAATTTTCAAAATATTTTATTTTTTTCCAGTAGTAAAAAAAATATTGAAAAGTATATTATTGAATACACAAGCGATCATCGTACGTACATATTTCACATACAATGCATATAAATTTGTATCCATTCGTAGAATTTTGATTTTAGGATCCATGCCTAGATTATTTTGTTTGAAAATAATATAGGAACATGTTGTTCCACGAGAAGTATAAAATCAGGTGGTACCATTATATGGTGGTTATATACCTGATCTGTGCTCAATATCAACACAAATCCTCGCATATATCCCATACAAAAATGTGTATCACAGAGGTAACTAATATAACAAGATATTTTGAATCCATTTTTTTCTCTTTTCAATGCAAAGTTCGATTATTAAACTCGAATGAGAACTACTAACTATAAACCAGCAATATAAACAAATATATGGAGCTTTGACATTTTACACATACATTGTTATTACTCCTTAGAAGTTTGATATTGTAAATAGTATATATCGGTAAACCATCAATATAAAAATGCATAATAGGCATAATATCTAATGCGAAGGTAATACCAAAACCTTCGTCAATAACATATATTATAACATAGAGTCCTCAACATACCTCAACATGTCAATTACCGATACATAAAATGAGGACATCTAATAACAAGTAAAAACGTCGTTAAGTTCGACCGGGCCAAACTTTTATACCAGTGGTCATTCGGGGATTGTGGAGGCTATCCTAAAAAAATAGATCGATAACATTACATCTAATTGGTTAAAAACGTGTATAAACACCAAAACACTAATGGCGGTACCGTTATAGGGGGATATTTAAAAAATTGAACCAATATTCATAGTTTTTGGTAGAAAGATTTGCTACCATATGACAATTCAAAATAAATTATAACCGAATCAGCCAAACACCCTAAAATACGGAGCACCGTTATATGGGAGCTTCATAAAAATTGGGCCGATATAGCCAAAAGTACCAAATTACAGATCTATATATCTCATTTTCATTACAAAACATCCAATCAAATCTCTATCTTTAATATTCTAATCACTATCGTGATTTCGACATAGATTTTTATTTTGATCAATTATATATACATATTCTTTCTGGGGTCTCCAGTGTTGCAAAGGAATGATAAATTTAGTATACCATTTACCTTATGGCGAAAGGTATAAAAAGCTTACATAGCACAGGGCTAACATTATGTGGAAGTCGTATAAACATATTGGGAAATAATCTAATTAAATCCGAATCCTAAATGATTATTACGGCTCTTGATGTGTAAATTATATGACGTTATTTAAATTTATTTTCCATGAATGCAATAATTACAAAAATAAAAATTATATCCAAGGACATTTTAGAAGGGTAAACAACGTTTGCGGGTTCGACAATTGCACCGCGTATATCTCAAGAACAAAAATAAAATATCCTCGCACAATGAATTTATTTTCTATAGCTACAAACTCGGTCATAATCATCAAATTGTAGATAATCAGAACTGTAATGCTGCTTTATGTGAATGTCATGGTATTACAAAGGATGTGTTTTGGACCAACTCAACAGAAACTTGATATTTTATACTGCAGAGATTTAATTTGAAATGTGTGCTAAAGCTTCCGATGTAACGATCCAGATCGGTATATGGGACAAATATAAAAAAGTTTATCTACACCAATAATAATAATAATAATAATAATAATAAGTATGAATAGAAATTGACAATCAAATCTAAAATACCGAAAATTATTCCTTAACAATATTGCTAAGGCAAGACAACGTTTGCCGGGCCCGCTAGTTAATTTATAAATATTTATGTATACCAAAAAGTAAAATGTTTTTATTGACTTTTTATCACAATCTTATTAACTAAATAGATAAAAACAACGAGTTCAGTGTCAGTACAGTGAAACTTTAATCTTAACCTAGGTCGCCATCATTTACACCAATATTGAGCTGGCACGACTATTACAGTCAACACCATACCTATCTATGTATGTATGTGTGTAATATTTATATATGTAGTATGTATGAACGTTCACGTTGGATATATCCACGTAATTATGCGGCGCTTGATTCTCCTATCGATATATTCCGCTGTCGCTTTGTTCGGGGTGGTGGTATTGGAGCGGTAGCAGATTCAGCCTTCATTTGATGTTCCTGCCCCAACTTGAGAGAATTGCCCAGAGTTGGATGTGAAATAATCGATGGTACAGCGGCATGCTTTGGCGTTAACACAGTAGGCGATTTATTTTTGCACATGCGGCGATCGAAGTACTCCTTGCATTTGATGATCATGGGATTATTTTTGCGATTCAAGTGCCAGATGGCGAATATACATGCCGCCAAGAGTATGAGAATAAAAACAACCAAAATAGGAACATAATTGAATGGTTCGGAGGATTCGTGTTGAGTGGATTCTGTGACTGTGGGCGGCACAGTGGGACGTTGTGTCGTGCGTATACTGGGCCGTATTGGGCGCATTGGAGTCAGAGTGCCTGCGCCTATAGCAATATCGGAACACGATCTAAATTCCTCCTGTTCACCACAACCAACAGCCCCCGTGCCATCGGGACAAATACCCCAATTGTTGCCAGCTACATATCGCCACTGTAGGACACACTGACTGCATGTTATCTCTAAAAAATAAAAAAAGATAAAAAATCATTTTGTAATATTAGTATTTTTCTTGTATACTCCTGTCAATATTATGCGCACTGTTTATGTGAAATTGCTCGCCTAAACATGAATGCATGTAATTTAAGTTATTTTCCATTTTCGAAGTTCAAATAAATTGTTAAGAATTACAGATACCTAAAACTATTTAAGAATGTCACTTTTAAATAAAAAAAAAATAAATAAGATGAGGGAGTTAAATAAGATTTATTTACTCTTATGAATATATTGTAATAAATCCATTCAAGCATGATAAGGTTTGGGAATTCCCGACTTTATTCCATTCTCGGGAAATCGGGAATTCAAAATTTCCATTCCCGTGACTTTTGACAACCTTTGTAAGTAAAAATATTAAAGGGTAGGGATGATATTATATTAATTAAATAATTAGAATTATAAAAAAATACGTTCTATGTCATTGTACAATAACATTTAAAAAGAAATAATTAAGAATTCATTTTCAGATAAAATTTTTTTGACATGTTTTTGGCAAAACATTGTATTAACAAACATATGAAGATTTTTTATTTCTTCAAATTTTGATGCCAAAATGTCCAGATATTGAAAATATTCTCTCACATTTAATGGAATTTTACTCACTTTATATAAAGCTTATTTCTTTATAAAAAAACTACTGTGACAAGGTTTTGATCATATAGAGGTTGACAAACAAAACAGAGGTTTCAAAACATGCACACCTTTGGAGAATCTTCATCACTACTAGATGACCAGACTTCATTGAAAACATAAATATCTTCTGTATCCACCTTTGCGTCTTTTTTGGCACATCCGTATTCCCCAAACTAGTTTATAAATAAACTTTAGTTTATAAATAAATTTTAAGTCACGTCGGTCACTTATTTCTATTTGTAATATCTGTGGAATTGAATGGTCGATGGAAGTTTGTATATCTTACAATGTTTTCAAGACAGCACCAACAATAATTTAAATGTATGACATGATTCTAGCAAAATAACCCTTCAATAGGACATTCAGAATAAATTTTCTCATGACGTTCGCCCTATCTGAAACAGTTGCTACAACATAGGTTTCAAAACATAATTCCAGCAGTTTTTCTTCAATAATTTTCCGAATTTCGAACCTGTCTATTATATAAATCGGTTTTAAAATGAGCACTTATACACATCCACTTATACACACATTAAAATCTCCCCTTGTAGATGGCGTATTATCGATAACAAATAATTTTTAATTCCGTATTAATATTTATTTAGAAATACAATTTCCCGTTTTCCCGGGAAATACTATGGAGAAATCCCGGGAATATCGATGTCAAAAAAATCGGGAATACCCGGGACGGGAATCACGCATGACTATCCATCCTTACTTCTATCTCTGTCCACGTATTTTTGTATACAAAGTACAGACCCATTTATTACACGCATGAGCTGAATTTTGGCACGTCTCATTTATTTGGATCAAGACCCGAAATTTGTCAGATCGAACGTAGCGTGCTGAATTGAGTCAACAATACAATTTCATACTTTTTTATACCCTCCACCACGATTTATCCACGCCCGTCTGCATTTGACGATAGAGTTTTGAATTTTGCAAATACATTGCTATTCCTCCTAATGTGTCCACTTTTTAGGGTAGCCCCCATATAACGGTATCCCTCAAAATTCTGTTTTTAAGCATTGCGTTTTTCAACCAAAATGGTTCTAATTTTATACTCTCTGAGCATAAAAACTATCAATATTGGCTATGTATTTGGATAGCCCCAATATAACGATACCCCAATATTCGGTATTTTGAAGCTTTTGGGTACGATTTTGAACCTAGTCAACAGTAATTTGGTATTTTGGGTTCTCACAGCTTAGAAAATCTTCCTAGCCCACATAACACGATAACCCCCCTCGCAGTTTTTGAAGTATTTATTTAAATTTTAGCATAATGAGATATATTTATGGAAAATATGTCAGAAGAATCCGACAGCTGACCCCTATAGAGGACACATTTGAACATAATAACTCCATTCATTAAAACATAAAAAAGATATTGAAATTGAATTTAGTTTTTAGTTTTTTTATTTAAAATTTATAAAAGGCCAATCATTAAAAAATGACAAATTGTATGAGGCTTGAAAGCAAAAAGTGTTCACACATACCCCTCTCTCACCTACAATTATTTCGTCTTTGCAGATCCTATCTAAAGTCTTGTGTATTGTTTTGTAAAATATTGGGAGGTCAAACATTGTGGTATTTTGTTTACGGCTCAAGAAAATAGACGCAGAAGGACTCGAGATAGAATGAGATCACGTTCTACAAAAATGTTCTTCATTCTTGTTGACTTAAGACATGTCGTCTCCAAATTAACCTGCAGTAGCCGCAAATAAAGATATATATATATATATATATATATATTTCTTTTTGAACTTTAGAGTTACAAGCAAAAAATCCATCATGCCATAACCCAAGAATTTGACACACCGCCAAAATGTTGTGTCGCAGTGTAATTAAAAACTTGTTCATCGTCAAAAAAATGTGTAATGTCATAAATTTTTTCTAAAGTGTTTGGATTTTAGTTTCAATTAACCAATTTTTTTCAATAAGACGGCGTTCGTTTATCCGAAATCGACTGTACTTTTAAATGTAAGGTGAAAACATCACGACATCCTTGTTTATGAAACTTTTCGTTAATTACCTGGAAGTTGTGCCTTTATTTCGTAAATTCTACTACCATTCCTTGGATAGAATCTTGTCTCCAAATCTCCGGGTGCAGGTTGGGCCGGTGATCCTGCCAGTATTTTTAAAAGATTACGATCTAAACAGTCTTGTTTTGCTTTGGGTTCTGGACACAATCGAAACTCGAAATATCTGCAAGAATAATGGAAAAATGTTAGTGTACTGCAACAAAAAAAAACGCCAACAGAAAGGTCATATTAAACTCGATTCCATACAGACCCCATGTGACTTGCTGTCAATTCCACACGAATAGTCATTTCAGCTCCCGGCGAATATCGCCGCACAATAACACCCTGACCCCACTGACCTCCGTGTTCGTGCGGCCGTGGCAGTGGCATGTCCCATGCATCGCCACACTCGCCACATTTTCCTCCGTTACGTTTCCACTGACGCGTAAAGCCACCACAATAGAGTTCGTGATCGTTGTAGTCGGGCGGTGTGTTGAAACCGTAACGCCATGCCGATGCTCGACTTGGCGGTTCAATCAAGCGACCATGGCCATTGCAGCCGGGTGAATTTATAACTACGACGACAGCGAAAAGAACAACAAAACGCCACATTACTTTGGATCGGTCATTATGAGTTCCAGCAAATTTCATCATTCCTTGAAGCGTGGCCGTCCTTCAAGCATCTGTAAGATTTTCAAACATAAAAATATAATTTATATAACAATACATCGATCGACAATACACTGAATATATATAGAAAAAATGCTTAACACAAAATTCGTAAGAGCGATGCCCTTTCTCGCACATCAGGTGTCACATTTGACAGTCACAATGGCATTATGCAGATTGAGTTTGGCCTTAGCGATACTTGCCTCCCTTGGAGTTATTATTTCTGAGAGTTAAATATATCGTATGCTGGGTATTGTTGGTGGGAAATTCCCAGTATTGTTGCCGAGAGTTTCATACAAACAGAATATTCCAACGTGATGGTTTCACAAAAATTTTCCCAACACTTTAGTGTTGCAAAGAAACTTTACTGTTAACAAATGTTTGTGATGATGTCATTTAAGGCAAAGGAAAAAACAAACCAAACAAAAACAGTGAAAGGGATACTTATTGGGAAAATTTAATTGAAATTGAACACCTGTCAACGAATTTCGTTTGTTCTTTTGCAAATACAAACAAATTTCGAAGATAAGAATTGCAATACATTTTTGAATTAAAATCGGAACATAATTTTTCTGTCTTCCGTGTATAAAATTAAACTGCAAACAAAAATAATTATATACAAGTTATGTCTGCTTAAGAACTTGCAAGAATGTACAAATTTTACGATAACGATAACAATTGTTCCTTTGTGATATCGAAGAAATAGTACAAATTAGTCAGCCAATCACACGAAATACTATAAGCCTTGTCTATAAAATACCAATTTACCAAAAAATCTGAAATAGAGATTCAATGTCTATCGAATGCACTCGATATGCATATTTTTTCGAAAACCATCAAATAAACAAACAAAAAACATCGAAACGCTTTTCAAATGCCACCTAATAGTTATGCAATTGTTATACCATAAAACTTAATAATTCTGTATGGCTCAATAGGTGACCACCATATAAACAAGTAGATATGTACGTGTCTACATTTGTTGATAATAAATTATGAAATAAAATTAGTTGTGTGTAAGGCACTAACATGGCGGGCACATATATTTGGTTATATGGGTTCCCTCAACACATTTCTTTTACATTTTTCTCTTATTGTAAAAATTATTATTGTGTGGTGTACGTTTCAAATCTTTATCTTGTAGGCTTGTTCGTATGAAAAAATAAAAGCGTTACCTATATTTTGGCCATACGCCTTATGAATACTATCGAAATACATCGAACCCCGAACAAGTTTTTACAATTTGTTCCTATATCGTTCCCCTGTTCTGTATAAGCTAATAAACACTCGTTCTGTGTGTGTGTGTATTGAAATTATTTTATATGGAAAAAATCAAAAAGTCATTACAAGAACATCAAGAAGGAATTAACCATGATCTGTTACATCTTCAAAGTACCAAAGGTCCAAATCGACTGCAAATTATATATATATATATATGTATATATATATATATATGAAGTTATATATGAATGATATAATTTATAAATATAATTTATTTGAGGTTATAATAGACTTACATAGAACTGGATCCTGTAGATATAAATTTTCAATTTGATAGCATATATGGACATTTACATAGAGAAGGTTTCATTAGTTTATTATTAAAAACCTTTGTAGTCGATTTGAACATATCGGTCCTTCAAACATATGTATGTTCCGTCTGCAAATTTCAAAAATGTATTATATCCTAAATAAAGTTTGAAAATTCATCATGAAAATCAAAATAATTATTATTTAATAATAAAAATTAAAAAAATATATTTTTTTGAACAATGTGCCAAACACTGTTTGCCGGCATAACACGTTGTTTTATAAGCACTGCATTTATTGTCTGAAGGTTTCCAGTACTATTTTCAAACATAACCCACGAAATGGAAACTATTGCCGTTTTCGTATTATTTGTATACCATTAGCATAATATTCACGTCGCAACCGTATGGCTCATTTTGGTTTATTGGCAGACTTGAACACGAAATCGTAAACGAGGAAGTCCAAGAATATACGTTAAAGTATCCCCACTTTTTTTGAATGCGGCATATCACGAAAATTGAATTATAAACAAAATTAACCCTCTGGAACCTACGAACAATACATAAAATTATTTAGAAATGTAATATATTTTTTCGAAGTTTACAAAATCAGAACACGATAAAAAGGAAAATGAATATCTTGACCTCTGACCTCTACCTTTGGGCAAAGGAAGATATGTAGAGCAATTAACATAAATTTATCATTCATGTTTGTTCCTTACATTCCGTCGGTTGCGGTGTCTATATTAGGGGAAGTGATTTTATTATTAAAATATTCGTTTTTTCGACAAAACACTATAATTATTACTTTGGCACCGAACATGCTAGTTCAGGTTAAATCATATTGAAATCTAGGTCATTATTTAAGCATTTGTATGTAAATTGCTCAATGAAAACAATAGCTACATTAACCCTGCGGTCAATAAACGGGTACATTTGTAAAATTTTTATTTAGCACTATATTAACGGATGTTGAATATACACATATTTTTACTAAAGTCAGCCAATTTGACTCTTATCAAAACATTTCATTTTTTTATACCCTTCACCACACTGTGGTACAGGGTATTATGTCTTTGTGCATATGTTTGTAACAGGCAAAAGGAAACGAGATAGACACATGGTTCCTTTTAAGAATATGCATAGAATCACTTTCTAAGTCGATTTATGCATGTCCGTCCGTCTGTCTGTCTGTCTGTGCATGTTAAATTGTAAACAAAGTACAGGTCGCATTTATGATCCGAATTGGATGAAATTTGGCATAGGTCACTTATTCGGCCCAAGGACGAACCCTATTGAAATTGGGAAAAATCGGTTCATATTTAGATATAGCTCCCATATATATATTTAACCGATTTAATGTAAACAGTCCCTATATATCTTTCGATTTGCACGAAATTTGGCACAGCCTAATCATTTAGGTCTAGAATTATGTCTGCCAAGTTTCGTGAAAATCGGTCCAGATTTAGATATAGCTTCCATATATAGTTTCGTCCGATTTCATGTAAATGGTGCACCAAAGTCCCTATATATCTTTCGATTTGCACGAAATTTGGCATAACGTACTGAATTAAGCCTAGAGTGATGTCTGCCAAGTTTCGAGAAAATCGGTCCAGATTTAGATATAGCTCCCATATATAGTTTCGTCCAATTTCATGTAAATGGCGCACCAAAGTCGCTATATATCTTTCGATTTGCACGAAATTTGGCATAACGTACTGAATTAGGTCCAGAATGATGTGTGTTAAATTTCCTGAAAATCGGTTCAGGTTTAGATATAGCTCCCATACATTTTTTCGTCCGATTTTAGGTAAATATTGCACCAAAGTCCCTATATATCGTTAGATTTGCACGAAATTTGGCATAGCGTACGGAATTAAGTCTAGAACGATGTGTGTAAAATTTCGTGAAAATCGGTTCAGATTTAGATATAGCTTTCATATATATTTTCGTCCGATTTTAGGTAAATAGTGCATCAATGTCCCTATATATCCTTCGATTTGCACGAAATTTGGGATAGCGTACTGAATTATGTCTGGAACGATGTGTGTTAAATTTCGTGAAAATAGGTTCAGATTTAGATATAGCTCCCATATATATTTTCGTCCGATTTTATGTAAATGGTGCAACAATGTCCCTATATATCCTTCGATTTGCACGAAATTTCGCATAGCATACTGAACTAAGTCTAGAACGATGTGTGTCAAATTTCGTGAAAATCGGTTCAGATTTAGATATAGCTCCCATATATATTTTCGTCCGATTTTGGATTTATAAGTAAATTTGGATTTATAAGTAAATAAAGAACTCAAAATGTGGCCGAATGCAAAAACCATACTGAAATAAGTGTAACCTATATTTCGATATTTCGCTTTAAATTTATTTACATTATTTTGTCCCATCGTAAGAAGCAACTCTATACCTGACCAAAATTTAGTATAGGTTGCAGAATGACATGTTTAATTTCATGTTAATGGTTCTTCAATAATGCGACGTCTGTTAGGATTCATCTGTTTAATATACCCACAGTGGTGAAGGGTATCATATAGTCGGCCCCGTCCGACTTTACTACTTTCCTTACTGGTTTTTTTGTATAAAAAAAACTATTTCAATTCTATTTAAATAAAATATTCGTTATTAGAAAAATCATAGAAAATGTTTTTGCATACAAACACTGTCCACCATAAGTTAGAGTGTATATTAATTTTTGTCATTTTGTCACCTTCTGTCTGTTGAAACCACCATATTGGAGTTAGAGTCGGTATTGGGAAGCTTTTGGGCTAATTTTTCTTCCTAATTGGCTGTAATTTGATCATTTGAGTTTCCATTGGGAATTAAATCTTCATATTAAAAATTATTAATATTGGTCCACTTTTTAGGTTTGTTCCCTAACGGTACCTCCCAAATTTCGTATTTAGTCGAGTTTAAAAACGAATTGTCTCTATTTTTATACCTTTAAGTAGAAATGGATATTTTATACAAATATGCTGAAGAAAATATAACGCTTGTTTGGGTGTTTCAGCATGACAATATCAAATATACATCGAAATATGTTACGGGAGTCAAAAATCTAGGTTTTATAATGGCCAGCACAATCATCAGTTCTTCACCCTTTAGCAAAATATTTGTGATATCATAGATAGCAAAATAAACCAGTGAGGAAAGTAGTAAAGTCGGACTGGGACTTCTATATGATACCCTTCACCACTTTGGCTATATTCTACATATGTATCCTATCAGACGGAGCCTTTTTGAAGGAACATTGACATTAAATTGAACGAAGTTAAACATGTGATCTTTATCCATATCTAAACCGACTAACATCAATCCCTATACATGTCATTGTGCAACCTTTGCTAAATTTTGTAAGTCGATTTAAAGCAAACTTGACACACGCTATTTTGTATACTACACGGTTTCATTTAATCTCATTCAGACATCCATTGATTACTTGCCAGAGATTAATTTATATTAAATTCAGTACGTTGTGTCAATCGGCCTAGCTA